TTTACTTACTGAGATATTTTATCTCATAGTTTTCCTTGTCCACCATTTCAGGAAGCGAAATCGAGGACGGGTAAATCAAGGGGAGTGACGAGTTATAAAGCTAGCCATTTCGAGATTGAGCATAGATTTAGAAATAAATCATGATCTTGTATTTGGAGATTTTATTGGAGATTTATGATATCAAAGAGATTTTATAATTTGATCTTCAGATTTTGATGGTATTAGTTTGTGATTTGAATAAGTTCCGAGCCTTGTGCACTTGTGGGACACATCTCACGAGTGCACGGCGTTTGCCACGTCTCTGGATTTGGGTTCTGGGGCGTGACACGCCGTCTGTGGGAACCTCGAACAAGAAGTTGTGTAGCTTAACTCGTTGAAAGACAAAATGGCTTGTACCTTTACTGGAAGTCGCCCTCCAAGAAATGAAATGGACGAACAGAGGACACACAGCTATCTGAGCTCGGCTTGAATGATTTTAGACCAATGTCAAGAAACCTTTTCGTAGGGGGAGCAGAACAGGATCAATTAAGTGGAATAGATGATGATGAAAGAACACCAACTAGGTATGCAACTCAGCCCTAACACTTCCAAATTCCAACAGGAATAAGGCAAAGACATCCCAGACTAGGCAACTCACAACGTGAACGACTTGAAAGGTCAACTGAGCCTGCTCGAACAATCAAGCTCAAAGAGAGAACCAGAGCTCTCAAAATGACAATAGGAAAAATCATTGCTCGCCTAATCCCTGATGACCCCCTGATTCCTTTATTGAACAGGGATGCACAGCCAGTTGCGGTTGTTGCAACTCGAAACTCCCCTGCTCTAACCAACATAGTAGTGCCGACCAAGCCAAGGGGAAGTGGAAAGCTAAATAACAAGCCCAGCTCGTCCAAACATAGTGAAGAACTGATGAGAAAGAACGCAAACCTTGAAAGATAGCTACGGGATGTACAAAAATCTATTGACGAGCTGAAAAGTCCCAGGTCGCACCAGCAGACCCTTGATTTGGATAGTGCCCCACTAAACTTATCCATCACAGCGAACCGTACTAAGAGGGATTCAAAATTTCCCACCTGGAAACGTATGATGGCTCAAGTAACCCAGATGAACATCTGCACATCTATCAAGCCATCATGAGAATCCAAAATGCCAATGTGCCATGATGTGCAAAGTGTTTCTAACGACACTGAAGTCAACAGCCAGGAGATGGTATCACAAACTCCCCAGACATTCTATAGACTCATATTCCTAACTCGCCAAGCTATTCTCCAACAAAGTTGCAAGTCAGAGGGAGATCAAACGCACAACGACCGAGTTGATGCAAGTTCATCAAAGGGAAGGGGAATCTCTGAGGGACTACATGCAGCGATTCAACAAAGCCACTTTAGACATTGATAACGTCCTCGATACCATCTGCTTGTCTGCCTTGCTGCATGGTTTGAAGAGTGGTCGGTTCCTAGACGACCTGCTAGAAAACCCGCCGAAGACATGGAACGAAGTGAATGACAGGTCGGCTAGCTTCATACTATCAAAAGATTTCAAGTCGTCCAAGCGACGAGCTGATGATAAGTAGAGCAAAAGTCATGAGCAACCGCCGAGGAGGGAAGAAAAGAAAAAGCAGAAGGTCAACGAGCAGTGGGGGAAGCTCGCCGACTTCCCAAAGTATGCCAACTACATTCCTTTGACCTTGCCAAGGTCTCAAATCTTGGCACAAATCCAGCACTGGGTTAGAAGACCCCCTCCCCCACTGCATGATTCCTTGAGAGCAGATAAGAGCAAGCATTGTGACTACCACCATGCATACGGTCACAACACAAAAGACTATCAACATTTGAAAGATGAACTAGAGTTCTTAACTCGCAATGGGAAGTTAGAAGGATATGTCGAGAAGCCTTATGCACAGCAACCAACCCAAACTTATTTTGTACAAGGGGTATGATCGACCTTAGGGGCAGAGGTACTAGCTCGGCGGCGCACAGGATGAGTATCAGAATAGCCAATATCCCTCTAAGCAAGGCAGAGCGCACAGGGAACGTCAGTTCAATCGGCGAGGACAAGGACAAAGGACTACCGCCCAGAACCAAAAAGATAGGAAGGGGGTAGGTTATGCTGGGATTCCCCCCGCCCTCTGGTACAATAAATATAATCTCGGGAGGTATTCATTCAGGAGGCCAAAGCGCCTGAGGTCGCAAAGCATATGCTCGCCAGGTGATGACTGTTAATAAGAACAGGCCCTTGAAGCGCTCGTTTGAAGAAGCAGAATGGGAAAATACACCCATTACATTCAGTCCAACCGATTACAAGCGAGCAGAAGGAGAGCCCGACGTTATGATGCCTCACGCTGATCCTTTCATGGCAACAGTCCATATAGGCAATCATAACGTCAACAAGGTCTTCATTGATATTGGAAGCTCACCAGATATCTTATACTGGAGCTGTTTTCAAAAGATGCAACTGAATCCGAGCTTGTTGCAGAAGTATGAAGGGCCCATATATGGGTTTGATAACCAACCTGTCCCAGTTGAGGGAGTTATTACCATTCCTATATATGTGGGCTCAAAACCATGCTTCAGGATGGCCTCTGTTAGCTTCTTGGTTGTCAAGATGGAATCGGCTTTCAATGCTATATTAGGAAGAGCCACCCTGTGCGAGCTGAAGGTTGCTATCTTCCAACCCCATCTCTATATGAAATTCCCAACTCCTCAGGGGTTAGGGGTGCTTAAGGGGAATCAGAAGATGGCCAGAGCTTGCTACCAAGACACTTTCAAGAAGGTCGAGCTCGTTGTGGCCCCAACAAGTTCTGAAAATCACAGGCCAACCCAGCTCGATCAGCAGACAATGAGCATATCAGATATCGAACATCGACCTAAGGGTGTCGAGCAGAAGGTTGAGCCGGTAGAACCGGTGGAAACGGTCCCTTTAAACCCTGATGTGCCAAAAAGGATAGTTAAGATCGGCACCAAGCTTACAGAAGAAGAGCGAGCAGAGCTTCTAGAGTTTTTGAGGGTTAATCAGGATGTGTTTGCGTGGACTACGGATGAAATGCCTAGCATCCCAATGGAGTTAACAGTCCACAAGCTCAGTACGGACCCCAGCAGAAAGCCGGTGGTTCAGAAACGTCGCCTTTTTGGCCGAAGAAGCAAGCTGCTATAGATGAAGAGATACAAAAGCTGTTACAGGCAGGCTTCATTAGGAGAGTCGAATACTCTGAGTGGGTGTCCAACCTTGTGCTCGTCAAAAAACCAAACGGAAAGTGGAGAATGTGTATTAACTTCACCAACTTAAATGAGGCGTGTCCAAAAGACCCTCATCCCTTGCCAAATGTGGAGAAGCTGGTCGAGCGGGCAGTTGGACACGAGCGGATAAGCTTCCTCGATGCTAGCCCAAGGTACCACCAAGTGCAGTTGCTGCTGGAAGACTAGGAGAAAACAGCTTTTTATGCTGGTGACGCAATCTACTGCTATGTCATGATGCCGTTTGGCTTAAAAAATGCTAGCGCTACATATCAGAAGCTGGTGCAAATCATCTTTAAGCTCCAGATCGACAGGAACATAGAAGTATATGTGGAGACATGATAGTCACCAGTGTGCGAGCTGAGGACCATATAGCGGACCTGAGGGAGACGTTTCAGAATTTGCGCCGAGCCCAGATGAAGCTAAATCCCCTGAAGTGCACGTTCGCTGTAGAATCAGGAAAATTCCTAGGGTACATAGTATCCAAGAAAGGAATTGAAGTGAACCCAGAGAAGGTTAAGGCCGTTCAATAGATGGAACCGCCCAGGACAGTAAAAGATGTGCAACGTCTGACAGGTCGTGTTGCTGCGCTGCATAGGTTTATTGCCAGGTCGGTAGAAAGATACATCCCCTTCTTTAAAGCTCTGAGAGAGCCCAAGAACTTTCAGTGGACGGATGAATGTTAGCAGGCATTTGACGAGCTCAAACAATATCTAGTTTCAGCACCCCTACTGTCCAAACCTGTGGAGGGGGAAAGTTTATACCTGTATCTGGGGGTTACGGAGGAGGCGGTGAGCTCGGTCCTACTTAGGGAAGAGAATAAGAATCAGAAGCCTATCTGCTATGTGAGCAAGGTTTTACAAGGGGTCGAGCAGAACTACCCACTAGCGGAAAAGGCTGCTTTTGCTCTAGTTTGCACAGCTCGTAAGTTGAGAGCTTACTTCCAATCTCATCAAATTGTTGTCTACACTGATCTGCCGTTGAGGAAAATATTGCAGAAACTGGAACTCTCTGGTCGGCTTATCGGATGGAGCGTCGAGCTAAGTGAGTACGACCTCAAATTTCAGCCGCGCACGACCATAAAGGGCCAGGTTGTGGCAAATTTCTTGGTGGAATGCATCTCGACGACTGTGGAAGAAAAGGCACCCAAACACCCAGTCTGGGTCTTGTATGTTGATGGCACTGCTAACGTTGAAGAATCGGGTGCTGAGGCTGTGTTAGTGGGCCCAAATGGCTTTAAATCTGAACACGCACTGAGGTTCAAGTTTTAGACAACTAATAATGCTGCAGAATATGAAGCCCTCATTTACTGATTGAAGCTAGCGTCCGAGCTAAAGGTACAGAGCATTTAGGTTTTTAGTGACTCTCAGCTTGTTGTGGGCTAGGTGAATGGCAGCTGTGAAATTAGGGATCCCCAGGTTGGTCGCTATGCCTCTATGGTCAACAAATTGAAGTTAAGATTTGCCTCCTTCCAAATCGACAAGATACCCAGAGCAGATAACCAATGAGCTGATGACCTGTCAAAATTAACCTCCTGGCAAGATATCAGCCCTCATAGATCAACAATTGTGGAGGTACTTGACGCTCCAAGCTACACCGATTTCACAGTTGAGTGTCAACTGCTCAGCACAGATCCTTCTTCACCGAGTTGGACTACCCCGCTCATAGATTATCTACACAGTGGCGAGCTGCTTGAAGATCCATCCGTTGCAAAGTTGATTAAACGCAAGGCAGCTCATTTCACTTTGTTAGATAATCAGCTCTACAAACAAGCAGCTTCAATGCCCCTATTACGCTGCCTCACTCCTTATGAAGCTAACTATGCTGTGAGGGAAGTTCATGAAGGAGTATGTGGCACACACATAAGTGGTAGAACTTTAGCTCGGAAACTCCTGAGGCATGGGTATTACTGGCCAACTATGGTTGAGGACTCACAAAACTATGTCAAAAAGTGCCCAACCTGCCAGTTCAACGCTAATGATATTCACATGCCAAGTATCTAAGCTCATCCTAAAGCTCGTGCAAACTTCATGTTTGCCTATAAACTGAGCATAGGTATCTTCATTGAAACAGGAAAAATGCTCTCATCACTCTCATCTCCCTAGCCTTTTGCTCAATGGGGAGTCGACTTGCTCGGCCCTTTTGTGAAAGGCAAAGGAGGTTGCACCTACCTCGTTGTCGCAGTGGATTACTTCACCAAATGGATAGAAGCTAAACCATTGTCCACGACAACAGAAAAGAAAATAGAAGAATTCTTGTTCAATTCAATATTATGCAGGCATTCTTTGGTGACTTAAGTCATTGATACATTATATGCAAATATAATTTGTGGCTCAGCTTGGTCATCTGTGTACAGGTTCGATATACCTAAGCGGATCATCGCTGACAATGGGCCACAATTCCGAGCAACGGCACTAAGGTCATTTTGTAACGACTATGGCATTGAGCTCACCTTGACCTCTGTATATACCCCGCAATCAAATGGAAAAGCTGAGTCTGCTAATAAAATCATCTTACGAGGCCTCAAGACGCGTGTATTAGCCACCCATTCTAATTGGGTAGACAAGCTCAATAAAGTGCTTTGGTCATGTCGCACTACACCCACTCGGCCACGGGCGAAACCCCATTCAGCCTTGCCTATGGAGCTGAGGCCGTCATCCCTGTAGAGATCGAATTGCCATCTGACAGAGCAAATCAGCACAACAACAATCACAACGAGCAGCTTTTAAGAGAAAACCTAGACCTTGTGGAAGAGATCAGGGAGATGTCTCGAGTAAGAAACATGGCGCATCAAAGTCGTGTTGCAAAATTTTATAATAAAAGAGTTCGAGCTTGTTAGTTTCAGGTCGGTGATCTGGTTTTACGCAAAGCTGGATTAACCAATACTTATTCACAAATGGGCAAGCTCGCTCCTAATTGGGAAGGTCCCTATATAGTTGTTCAAGTTAAGTGATCTGGATCTTATATGTTGGCAGATCTATAAGGTCGTCCGTTACCATTCATTTGGAACATACACACAACCTTAGAAAATTCTACAGTTAACATGTACACTATTAACTTATTCAAGTTGTTATCAAGCAATTGTAAATGACAATATACAGAAAATATACAACAGTAAATACAGAAATTTCAACGCAAAGTTCATGCTTGTATTTCATCAAGGATGTTTACATTTGAATTACATATGGAATGGATGCATTGATCAATACAAAAATGCAGAAACAAAAATACAAAAGATAAAAACGAAAAAATCCTAAGCCTAATCATCCGTCAAATTGACGGGCATGGACGCGTCAGCGGTAGGAGGAGAGGAGCAAGTTGGAGGCAAGCAAATGGTGGGCTTGGGAGCTGGTGCAATGACGGGCAACCTCGCCGGCACCGCGGCGGGCTGGGAGTTGGGCGGGGTGCTTGATGGCTCTTGTCCGGTTACCAGAGCACCTTCAACCCAAGAGTCGAAGGAGGGTAGGCTCATTGGATCCTCCCCTTCTTCTAGGACTGAAGAAGGCCAAATGGGTACCCCCTCCTCGTTGAGATCCCATCTCAACCGCACCATAGTATCAGCGAGGGGAGCAAGGCTTTTACCCTGCTCGTCAATGTCCTCCCCGTCAAAAAACGCCAGCTCACGGATGGGGAAGTCAGGGTGATGGTGCAGCACCTTCCCACGGATTTCGTTGTAGATCTTCGTGGTCATGTTCGCAGACGCCACCGCCACAGCATCTTGAAATGCGGCCAAGCCCACCAACCATCTACCCCTTGAGCTTGGGCGATGCTTACAAAGCGCCCATGAGAAGTCTTCAATTCGTTCAGGGCCTCTTCAGCTGCGTTGAAGTTCTTGTCGGCCTCGACGATCTGGTTCTTTAGGGAGCTCAGCTCGTTCAGAGCACGTTCCTTTTCGTCCTTAGCTTTCTTGGCCCGTTCCTCAACACGGGTGGCCTCATCCTTCGCCGCTTGGATCCCGCTTTTCTTTTTAGCGCGGGCTCGCTCCAGCTCCTCCCTGATCTCGTTATTTCTGTTTGCGAGCTCGTTTGCTCGGCTCTCCACTGCAGCAGCTCAATTGGCCATCTCTGATCCTTGCAGACAATTGACATCATCCACAAGGCTAGCCTTTTCTGCGACCAACTGCTTGCAGTTGGCGTTGAGCTCGGTATTCTGAGAGCGAGCCCCCTGCTCGCTCTTGAACAGCGTCACCGTGTAGCTAAACGCCTACCAAACAGCAACAATTGTAAGTCTCTAGAATGGAATAGTAAAACAATTACACAAGTGCGTGTAAATACTTATGTCCATTAGCTTGACCATGGCGACCTGCCCGCCATGCTGCTGCACAAAAGTCCTTGCCCGTGACAATCCACGGGTGGCATAAAGCTTTGCATGCCTTGCACCATGGCAGGCTAGCAATCAAGCTTCACATAGCTAAAGCTGTTTGGATACGCAATCCTGGGCGCTGACACTGAGGCCGACGCAGAGGCGAGTTCTGCTGCTACTTGCGCCATGGCCGATGGCGCGTTTGATGAGCACGCGATCGCAGGTTGAGCCGCCTACGCAGGCTGAGTCCCCCCACTTGTTCTGCACCGTATGAAGGGGACCTCATCTTCACTGTCAGTCTCCTCGCGTGCGCGCCTGCGTGCACTGGGGGCCGCAGTTTCAACCCGCTGCTCAGCGAGAGGCCTGGACACCAAGCTGGAGCCACGGTGCGACGAGTTGCATGATTGTGGTGCTGGAGAAGGCCACTCATCGAACCGCGTCTGTCGTTGCAAGGTGCTGCCCGCTCCGCGACCCCGTGAGCCTTGGGCTCGTTGACATTGGCGTTCAAGTATGCTGCTCATTTCTCCTACACAAACAAATATATAAGACTCAGCTCAGCTAGAATGCAGGATATATGATAAAAGTATACCTTTTGTGAACAGGTTTGCCATGTCGACAAACCTGAACACGACGAGCTGCTCTGAGGTAACTAGGGCTTCTAGATCTATCAAAATTTCCCTCCTAACGTATTCTAGCAGCTAATTCTTCAAATCCATGTCCCGTGGCAGCAGTTGAGGGTAATTGACGTGTGCATTCTGCACACGCCACTCAGATAGCCGAGCAGCGAGGTCGTTGCTTATTTGCTCTGTTCGCATATTGCGAACAAAGACGAATTGCCTCTTCCACCTCGCCATTTTGTTCTTGACGTTTTTGAATAGCTGGCTCTTCTCTCTCCCTGAGAGGTAATACCACTTTGCACCTCTGGAGTTAGGACATAGCCGGCATTGGAACATCGACCTGAACACTATCACCTTCGCCGGTACCGCCAACCTTGCACACAACAGCATAAAGCCTATGATGAACCTTATGCTGTAGGGCGTCAGCTGCGTCAAAGCCAGCTTGTAATCAGCCAGCAGGTCGAATATTAGCCCAGGCAGGTGAAATCGCAGGCCGGCCTCAAAATGGTCCACGTACACTGGTATCCAGCCCGTCTGTGACACCGTGCACGCCCTTTCATTCTACGCGCCAGTCCGGAGCAATATCGTCCTGGGGATGTGGTACGCCCTCACTATCTCCTCCAGTTTCTTATACCCACTTATTGAGGGCACACTGTCTGCTACTTCATGATGAAGCGCGGCCTTGAATCTAAATCCAACGGGCAGGTCCGCAGGCGCCTTTCGTAGATTACTCAACCTGCCCATGATTGTCTTGCTTTCCCACTCTCCAATCATAAGCAGATCTGAGACATCGCTAACCGCATTCCTCGTCCCTTCCTCGCGGTAGAGTGTCTCCTTAGAGGACGAGCTGCTGGATGATGAAGTATGGTGGTCGTCACCGTTGTCCCTAGCGCTGGAACTGGCGCTGCTTTCAGGCATCATTGTTTCCCGCAAGTCCTGCAACGCCAACGGCACTATCATCGCGATGGGCTCTACAGATATAACTCCCCCTCTTCTTCCTCTCTACCCTGGTTACCTCGCAACTCTATGAGTTCTCTAAACAAGTCCATTTTTTACCTTGGATTGCTGTATACATTGCTGGGTTGACGGTCTAGTGATGCGTTCTTCAAGCTGCAAACACTTTGCTACAGAGAATATCAGAAGTTCAAAAACGAGTCAAAATGGAAAATGGTTCAAAAACGAATGAAATGGAAAATGGCATAACCGTTCCCCCTTTCCATTTCCTGAAACAACCGTGCTAGCAGTAATTGTCGTACGCGTGTCCCTGACACGCTAGTTAGCGTCCCACATGTGGCAGGCGCTTAACACCCTTTTGCATAGCGTGCGCTGGCTTTAGCTGTCGCGTCCCCTCAAATGCTGAGCCAGCATT